TGAAGATCAAGAAGAAGGGGAAGATCTACAGTCTGAATGAAGGTTATGCCCTTTATTTCGATCCTGCCGTCACAGAGTACCTGCAGAAGAAAAAGTTTCCGGAGGTTCAGTATGAATTTTCCCCCCAAACATATTTTTTTGTAACATAATACAAGCTGAACAATCTTATACATTTCAAAAAGACCTCCACCAGCTACTAAAGGACACACATGGAGTATAACTGTACAAATGTGTTCAGGATGGCAGTGCGCCCTATGGAGCCCGTTATGTAGGTTCAATGGTGGCAGATGTGCATCGGACGCTTGTTTATGGAGGAATCTTCCTTTACCCTGCTAATGTCAAGAGCCCCAAAGGAAAGGTACTTCATCTGAACATTGTTTACATTCACGTGACCTTGTTTAAACGCAGATGCCGTCACGCTAATAAATCAACTGTTGTGCAATTTTCTTTCTGAACCGCATTTAAACACTTGTAACCTGAATACAGTCAAATCTTCAGATATATATGCTCTCATATATTCAGATGAATATAGCCATATATTCGGTAATACTGTAGAATACTAGTCCATTGATAGAATAAATATGATCTAAAATTGCCTTAATTGTTGCTTGATAAAGTCTTAAGTTAAGTTAAAGTCTTAAAAATACCTGAATGCATTAAAGAAGTCATATGCAAGATTGTGGCCAAAACTGGTACTGCAATCACTTACTGTAGAGCGGGGTATTCCCCAAAATCAGACCAAAACACAACATGACAACATCAACATCAGTTGAGGGCTGCAACTTTATTTTTTAAATGACAATATCCCGCCCGGACTACTGTTGTTAGTGATATAAGTATTTGAAATGAACAGGATTTCTTACTGTCTAGTGACATATCTGGGAAAATTATGATTAAATGAAATACATTTCTTGCATACAGCTCCTTTAACACCTTCTAAGAAAGGTTAGAAGTGCTAGTTAAGAAAATCTGTACTTTTCTGAGACATTTTTAACCAACCGATCCCAAGGAATTCCTCTCAAGTTCATTCAGAGTAACCACAGGTGCAATGAATACCATGTTTGACTATGTAGCAATGTAAAATGTAATGTAGTGTTTACTTCATTTAATGACATTCATATATTCACTTAAGAGTTTACATATAGTTTTGCAAACACTGTTCTATTTAATTAAAGCGATGACATGGAAAGCATATATGACCTTTGCTCCACTTCTTTTGTTGGGTGTCAAATATGCAGGCATGTCAATGTTTATTCTCTCTATCCGTAAGAATCTATCCTGAAATAGGATACATTACATTTTAGATACGTGTGTAAAAACCTTTGTGCCATGCTGTTTACTTCACAGTTTCATAATTCAAATACCTCTGTGAGAAAGCTTTTAATGCTTCAATCACCTGTGTCTGCTACAGCTGCTTTTAAAACCTATAGGGGGAGCTGTAGGAATGGGAGGACGCCCTAACGAAATGTTGGATGGTAGAGACTTGTAAAACTCTTTTATCCTCTTCAGCTCAGGCTTCTCTATGAGTGCAACCCCATGGCCTTCATCATGGAGCAGGCCGGAGGAATGGCCACCACAGGGACCACCAACATCCTGGACATCCAGCCTGAGAACATCCATCAGCGGGTACCTGTGGTGTTGGGCTCCCCTGATGACGTCCAAGAGTACATCTCCATCTTTCAGAAACACCATAAATGAAGACCAATAGTCAGAGAGACTCAGAATAATCACTCCAGAATGAGAGACCAAAATGTATTCTTGCTTTCAAAAAAACTCCATAATGTAGATCTAATTCCCTAAAACCAAATGTTTTTATACATTTTATACCTCCAAAAATGAAATATAAGAAGTATTTTAGAGAACACGGACCAAGCAGTGACAATTTTTTTGTGAAAAACTTGAGACCAAAACATTTTCTTTTAGAGAAACACGATATGTTCTGCACTAGACAATCTCTGTGGGTGTTTTTGGCTGCTGGAATTGTCCAGCGAAAAGACAGAAGCAAGTTCATGAGGATGATTTGAATTTAAATTGACCTAATTTCATTCTGTACAGATCAAAATATATTGTGCCTTTATTGGAGCCTATTGAGGGAAGCTGTGAATAAAGCTCTTGGCAAAACAAAGACTTTGAAAGATGTTTTCTCTGTGATAAGAACTTGTACATTAAAATCAGCATGAAACGGAAGTTGCGATAGTATTTTTTTCCCCTATTGTGAGTGAAACGGCGGTGAGTTTATCCAAGGGAAACTGGTTGGATTGTTGTGGTTGGCTATAGCTGCGATGTCTTGTGAGTGACAGGTTGGTCCCACCCTTGCGCCAGTAACTTCAAAGAAGAAAATAAGAATAATAATGTACATGGATAAATCATTTAAAATAAGTCAAAGGCTACTGCACCGTTTTTTTTTTTAAATATATTAAACTATGTTATTCCCTTAACTAAGACAAGTTGATACATAGGCTACCTCTCTCGTCTCGTCTGCGTGCACTCAATCATTCTGGCGCGCGAGACACTTTGATAGCACTTAAAGGAGTAGTTCACTTTAAAAAAAAAAAATGCTGTCAGAAAATTTCAGTCGAAAAGAAATTAATGTTTTTCATGAAAACATTCCAGGATTTTTCTCTATATAATGGACTTCAATGGGAACCAAACGGTTCAAGGTCCAAAAGAGAGTTTCAGTACAAACTGCAAACTGTTCAAAGGACTTTAAACGATTCCAGACGATGAATAAGGGTCTTATCAAGCGAAACGATCACTCATTTAAAAAAAAAAAAGTTTAAATTTTATAAGCTCAAATGCTCGCCTTGCTCTGTTCTGTGATGCGCGTTTGTGACTCTCCTGTTCGAACTCGTTCATCAAAATGAACAAATCTTTTCCCGAGTCGACTAGTTCATTTCATTCTTTGAATGAACCAAATGAAACGAAAAAAGATTTGTTCATTTTGATAAACGAGTTCGAACAGGAGAGTCACAAAAACTTAAACTTTGTTATGTTTTTATTAAATGAGCGATCGTTTCGCTTGATAAGACCATTATTCATCGTCTTGAATCGTTTAAAGCCCTTTGAACAGTTTGCAGTTTGCACTGAAAGTGTCTTTTGGACCTTGAACCGTTTGGTTCATTGAAGTCCATCATATGGAGAAAAATGCTGGACTGTTTTCATCAAAAACCTTGATTTCTTTTCGACTGAATAAAAAAAGACATGGACGTGGATCTTGGATGACATGGGGGTGAGTAAATTATCAGCAAAAGTTTTTTTTTAAAAGTGAACTACTCCTTTAACTAGCCAAGTTCATTCAATATGCGCCAAGTAGATCAAACACCTCCACGTTTTCTCTATTTAAATACAGTTACTCAAGTAGTGTAACTCGACCTAGGACGGTGACACAAAATATTTTCTGTATTTAAATAGGGAAAACGTGGAGGTGTTTGGTCGCTTCTCTGCTTGGCCCCTATTGAATGAACTGGGCTAGTTAAGTGCAATCAAAGTATCTCGCACGCCAGAGCGATTGAGTACACGCACTGAGACGACAGAAGTATGTATCAACTTATCATAGTTAAGGGAACAACATAAAAAAAACAAAAAACGGTGGAGTATCTCTTTAACTCATTTGGTAGTGTGGGATTACAAGTTTAAGAATCTGTTTAAGATCCGTCTTGACATAACATCACATGAAAATCTAAGGTGAAGTATATTGTATTTAGCATTTAAGGTAAAGATGGTGACATCAGATGAATGGTTCTATTAAGCAAAGATTATAGCAAGAGGTTTCTGCCATTGTAACAAATATCGGTGTTGATGTTAACAGTCTGCAGCGCGCTTCAGAAACCCTCCACCTCCCCCAGCTCCACCTGTATAATTCATGTATGGGGTTAATTCATGAATGTTACGTATGCAGCAGAATGTATTGGCAGTAGCAAGTCCCGTACTTGCTCTGCAGCAGAGTAGCAGATCTATTCCGCAAAGACCAAATGAATTAGCATTGCCATATCCATTACCATGACAATCTCTCTGAGAGTTGCCATGACAGAAATACTGCAATATAAAAATGGTCAATTATAATTTCATGGTGACTTCAACGTATTTTGATGTTTTAATTGTGTTTTATTAAGCCTCTTTATTAAGCCTCTGAAAACACTTTAATATTATTTGTGATTGAAAAATGCAATTTCCTTTATCATACTCAATGTATTCCTATATAAACAGAGATTTGAATACAAGGCATACTGGACAACAAGTTCAAGCAACCAAATGAAGAGCAGATGACCTTTTCTGTAAAGGCCAGTGGGCGCATAGAGCCCAGCTGACATTTGAGACACATTTTGGGGTGTTGCTCTACATGACCTTGGTCAAAAAAGATATGGGTACAAATCTGTTCATTTCAAAATCATAAATATTTGTAGCTTAGTGCAGTGTAAAACAAAATGTGCGCACAAATGGTTGTCTGTGTTCAGTGATTTCTCCTGTGTTAGAGCCCCCAGCTTTTCTGGAAGGTTCTGATCCTAATGAGTTTATTATTTTGGGCTCTGGGCTCACATTTAAGGCAATAAGAGCACGAGGCAATGCTTGTTTGGGAATATGTCTTCCAAATCTGTTGAATATGGAGAGCGACGTCTATAGCAGTGCTTATATATATTGCGTAAACAGTGCCTGTTGAGGATCACAATTTAAATGAAGTCCTCGGAAAGCATGTTAATTGCACTTTTCAGTGCTGTGAATCAAATATAAAATGCTGTTTATCCATTTTCTTTAAATGTGTTTGATATGTTTAGTCACAGGTCTAGGTTTGACTTTGAGTTATTGGGACACATTTACATATAAATAAATACACAGTTTTATTAATGCGATCCATTTAACAGACCTCCAGTGTTCATTAAGACATGATTGTCATAAACACTCATGAGCTTTGAGTTGTGACCCATGACCTTATAACCCCTGAGTATATGTCATGTGACAACAGTGAGCATAAATAAGTAGCTGAGAGACAAGGAACGTGCTTTATAAGTTAGGCTCTGGCTCTACTAGCATTCAGACTACACTACTGTCACTTGATCTGCTTCACCAATATAACCTTGGCCTTCATCCACTCACTGTGTGTGTAAAAAAGACTGCCTAGAGTCTCTTCAGTTAGTCTCAGCCTGTCCAACTGCAGCAACTCTCGGATACTGTGAGAATGTCGGATCAGTCGGTCTTTGATGTGGACGTATGGACCCTCACTCGCTTCGTGATGGAGAAGGGGCGGAAGGTGAAGGGGGCCACCGGAGAACTCACACAGCTCATTAATTCCTTGTTAACTGCTATTAAAGCCATCTCATCTGCTGTCAGGAAAGCTGGACTCAATCATCTGTAAGTTTTGTTGCATCATTTTGCATTATACGAATGGATATGTTTTACTCGAACTGTGTTGTGAACACATTCTTTGACTGTAAGAAGCAGAAGAGGGTGAAACCAATTATAAAATCAAAATGAGAGGACAAGTAGACAGTCCTAGTTATGTTTTTGAGACTAGTTAAAGTTAGTTTTAGTAAAAGAACTGTAAAGTATGTAATGGATGCATGCTTTTTATTTTACAGTAAGTGCACTTACGTGTATGGTTACGGTACTTAGAAAGAACCCAGTAATAGGTAACTACATGGGTTTAGTTTAGAGGTTGGTTAAGGATTAGTATTACCCCGTTTGAAAAATGTGTTATCCACAAAAAAGGGGAAACTAACACATGGGGCAATCAGATTATGCTGAGGTATTAAATACACATGGGAAGGTAAACAATGAAACAAAGAACAGGCGTGCAATGCAATCAGAAACCATAGCAACCAATGATGATCAAGAGCTCAGGAAAACAGCGACAGCAAACACATGGCTAAACAGAACAGAACAGAACATGACCGTTACAACATGCAGAACGTGACTGAAAAATAAAAGTGCTACCATAAATCCATTTTAGTTGTCTTTTTAAAGAAATAATAATAATATTATTATAATATTTCTAATACTCATAAAATAATATAAATGGTAAGGCTGTTCATTTCTAATGACTAATAACTCTCATGACAGCATTATTTAGGAGTAAGGAAATGTCATTTACTGTTTTGGCATCTGAACCTAATAATAATAGCAGTGTCCTGTTTCACTGAACACAGTCAAGGTCTTGCCGGGCAGGTGAACGTCACAGGCGATGAGCAGAAGAAGTTGGATGTGCTTTCCAATGATCTGGTCATCAATATGCTGTATTCCTCTTATGGCACCTGTTTGATGGTTTCTGAGGAGAACAAGGATGTCATCTACACACCTGCTGAGAAAAGAGTATGAGCTTTGTGATATAAGTCTTGTTTATGATATATATATATATATATATATATATATATATATATATATATGAAGAGTTCAGATGCAAAAGCCTCTAAATGCCATTTGAAATTTTCTTCTAAAATGACCATTTTTATCAAGCTTGTATATTTAAGTTCAGTAATTTCACTTAAATGACAATTAATAGGTAATCTTCATTGCCATTTAAGTGAAATTACTAAACTTAAATATACAAGCTTGATAAAAATGATCATTTTAGAAGAAAATTTCAAATGGTACTTAGAGGCTTTTGCATCTGAACTCTTCATATACATTACTGTTCAAGAGAAAGGTCTGTCATAATTTACTCACTCTCATGTCGTTCCAAACCTGTATGTTTTTCTTTTTCAAAAAAATGTTAGGTAAGCTTTATGTTGCTCTTTTCATAAAGTCAATCATGCTCCTAAAAGTGAATTTTAAAATCTTCACAAAAGTTTGAAAAAAACAAAAACAAAAACAACATGGAAATTTAAGTAAATATTCACTGAAAATGAGGAAAATCACATCCAACATCATTAGTGTCTGTCTCTATACTAGGAGATATTTCCATTGTTTGGCCTAAGAAAATTTGGAATTGTATCATATTGACTATAATGGAGCTTTTGCCATTTTTTAGCTTGACTGGCCCTTGCCTTTCCTTTTGTGTTCAAAGAAGAAAGAAAGTAGCCTAATACAGGTTTAAAACAACATGAGAGTGAGTAAATGATAACAATATATTGTGAACTACTCCTTTACCACCAAAGGTAGAAATAATAAAATGTATATAAATTGGAGTTGTTATATCAGCAATGAACTCTGGTCTAACAAGTAGCCTAAATAGTAATGTGCTTATATAATAAAATGAAACTGCTACTCTTAGGAAACATTGTTATGAGATAAAAGAGAGAATAATCTCTTTTAATCAAAATCATAATCAAAATGTGTTGTCTAACGTTTTACAACGTCTCAAAATAACTAACAACAACACTTAATAATAATAATAAAACATTTTGAGCTGGATATTATCAAAAAAGTCAGAATGGGATTACTTTCCATCACATATCCAATTGGCAGTGTTAAATGATGGGGAAAAACTTGAATAGTTAGGTAAAATAAAATAGCATGTTTGGAATAATTAAATAAATAAATAAAAAAACTTAGAAATGTCTGTGTGGTTTCACAATAGTTATGGCTGCTTTGTTAACTAGGACCTTTGTTCATGCATATTTGTTGGAGTTCATACAGATAATTACCACATGAGGTCGCCGTCTCATTTCGGATACATACTAAGTTCAGACTGCTGTTTGTCACAGGGAAAGTATATAGTCTGTTTTGATCCCCTGGATGGCTCCTCCAACATTGACTGTTTGGCCCCCATTGGCACCATCTTTGCCATCTACAAAAGAGTGAGTGAGTGTTTGTACTGCATCTGTTGACTGCAAGATTGGAGTTTGGAGTTGCATGTGCATTTGGTGTAGCCTACTTTTTGATGCATGAGAGAAACCCATAATCAAATGCAATAAAGAAGCCATATAATTGTATATAGATTTATGTCATGTGGTGTGCGAGATGGATTGGTTTGATGTTCGGTGTTCTTGCTCTTGTGTTCTACTCTCCCATGCAGATTGACGAGGTATGCTGACTGCATTTGACCCTGCCTGATGACATATGGCTAAGCATGAATTCAATATAACTTTAAATTGATTTGATTAAGTGTATTAGAATGTGACGAATAACAACGGTACAGCTGAGTCTATTATTTAACTTTTGTTATGTTTTAATATAACATTTTCTTACTACAAATCGTTAAAAAGATACACTTCACGTAGAACTGCAGTAACTAACATGCACTCTAGGTGGTGTCATTGGGTTTGTATGTTAACGTGTATGTACAATTTTATTTGCTTTAACAATCCATTTAATCACCTAATTTGAGAGCCTATATTGTCTTTGTGGACAGGCCGCTGATTTAGTTGTTTTTCCTGTTTCAGACCTCAGACGGAGAACCGACTGTCAAGGACGCTCTACAGCCGGGCAATCAGATCGTGTGTGCGGGTTACGCGCTTTACGGCAGCGCCACGGTAGTGGCTATCAGTACAGGGACTGGAGTTGACTTCTTCATGCTGGATCCAGTACGCGCAAAAAAGTTCAATCTGCTGAAATTATATACTAATGATGAATAATAATGCCAGGACTTTATTAAATAAATACGAAAAGTAGTCTGTTCTGAAATCAGAGTTGTGTAGCCTTTAGAATTCAAGGTAGATCATTAAAGGGATAGTTAACCCAAATGAAAATTTTGTCACTACTTACTCTCCATCAAGTTGTTCCAACCTGTTTGAGTTTCTTCTGTTGAACACAAAATAAGATATTTTAAAGAATGTTGGTAACCAGACCCATATGGTATTTTTGTCCTACTATGGAAGTCAATGGGGCCCATCAACTCTCTGGTTATCAGCATTCTTCAAAATATGTTATTTTGTGGTCAACAGAAGACAAACTAATTCAGGTTTTGAACAACTTGAGGGTGAGTAAATAACGACAGAATTATTATTATTTATTTTTTGGGGGGTGAACTATCCCTTTAAAAGCACTCCAAACTATTTAAGTGAATCATTTACAGCTTAACGGCTTTCATGAGCAAAGTAAGCAGACACAAACATAATATTGTCTTATAAAGAAAAATAGTTATGTACTAAACTGAAACTTTTTTTGTACTTATATAATGTGTTACTGATAGTTTCACTTCTCTTTATGGATAGATTTTTGGAGTTTTTTTTTACAAATTAAGAGGGCACTTCTTTTTTTCAATTTCAGATTAAAGTCTTGGAATAGTTTGTGGCTGTAGTGAACTAGTTTTGATTCCTCATCTTAGGCTAAATTATATTTAGTTTATATTGCAGCATACAGTATAGTAGGGTGTCATTGTGTAGCATGAGATCATGACTTTTTTTATGTTCCTCTTCTTCAGGCAATTGGAGAATTTATTCTTACAGACAGAAATGTGAAGATCAAGAAAAAGGGGAACATTTACAGCATCAACGAGGGCTATGCTAAGTACTTTGATCCTGCAGTCAATGAGTATATAAAGCACAAGAAATACCCAGAGGTGGGTTCCCGTTCCCTACAGAGACATACACAGCCAAATAATGTTGCTTTGTCTTTTTATATTATTTTGGTAAAGTCATATTGTTGCTAGCCAAGATTTTTTTGAATGAGTCCTTAAGACCTCAGCACAAATCAACCGTTGAGGGCACATGTGTACAAAACATCATGTGAGAGAGTAAGTACTCACATGTTCATGACATGTTGCGACAGAACAGAGAATGTTGCTTAGCTTGCCCGAAGAAAACTTGGTTTAAAACAAAGTGAGCCTGAATAATGCTTGATGACCGATCAACAGCTTGCATGACTGCATTGCCGTGCTTAGCATCAGCTGATGTTTACACACGTTGCATATGCTGGAAAGTGATGAGCGACTTCCTTTTGCAGAATGAGTCTTTTTTCTGAGCTGGAACATAGACTCAGCATATGCAACTGATTTGAGAGTGACTGCGTGCAGTTAGTGATCATAAATATGCTGAGTTTGAATTTTCTGTGGGTCAGCTAGTTAATTATTAAAAAAAAAAAATAGTGAATAGATGTGAGATCTTGTGTTTCTAGGAATACATGTTTTTGTTTCTTCATTTTAAGATCATCTTAAGCAGTCTGATGGTGATAAGGAAAAAGTAAACAAGAAAAAAACCCAAAAGAGCTGGTCTTAGATAAAATACTGCATTACGAAATGGGAAACTTGCTATTAATCACGTTCATTATGTTATCAAGTCTGGCAGTGGAATATCATGTTGTTTTTGTAGAGGTGTTGTCGTCAGAAACATGCTATCATGCTAAGTATTGATTTGTCTGTTGTCTGTCATTGCTTGAGGTGGGGTTGGCTAAAGGAGCACGCTGCCACCTCTCAAAATCCATATTTAAATCCAAATATTATAACTTTATGAAGTTTGTTTTTACTGCTCACATCTAAGGAAGAGGGATTTCATCTGGTGACAGATGTATGGGTTACACTCTATTTTAAGATGTCCTTGTTACAGTGTAATTATACAGATACATACTGAGAAATATGAATTACCAACATGTACTTACTATAATTATGGTTTGGTTAGTTGCTGTTTTATAGTAAGTACATGTAAGGTGTGTAACAGGGACACTGTAAAATAAAGTGTTACCGATGTTTTTTAGCTGTCCAGCTGGGTTTCAGTTTCCTGGAGCTTCTCACACTACTTCCTGCTTTCCTATCCTCTTTTATTGAAGCACTTGTGACCTTTTGTTCCCGACAATGTTTGCTTACATTGTTTGCTGACTGTTGGTGCAAGTTGAAATTATTTTCAGTTTATTCAAATATTCAAGCTAGAATGATGGATATGAAAAAAGTTTGGGTTTTTGTTCATTCATATGAATACTGATATTATTTCCTGATATTATATTTGATGAAATGTAATTGTCTCACAGGATGGCAGTGCCCCGTATGGTGCCAGGTATGTTGGGTCGATGGTGTCTGATATACACCGTACCATTGCTTATGGCGGCATATTCATGTACCCAGCCAATGAGAAGAGCCCAAAAGGAAAGGTGAGCTCACATGCTTTAAGATATTCAGGGCAAACTGTGGAAACTGGTCATAAAAAGCAGATCAGGTGATCGTGATATAATAAATAATGAGTATGATGAAACTTAGGCCATTTCTTAATGCGTTTTCTCGTCTGTACTTGTTTTCTTGTGGACTTGTGAAACGCCATCAGTCACTGCCCAAGTAGCCTACTGTTCAATTCAATGACCATATCTAGCCAGGATATATAATAGCATCAAAGAAACAATAGACAGAAAAAATAAATAAACTATACAGGAGAAACATTACAAAACATTTTCAAAAACAAAAAGGATTCAAAAATTCTATACATTAATTTCGCTTTTTATTTCTTGCATCGTTTAGGGCTTCGGTATAATGTTAAAGCTCAAATTTTAATAACATAATGTTAAGTTTATTATATTTAGTCCATTTCTGCTTGTGAATATGGTATTTTCCATTCATAAAGAGATAACCGGAGTAGCCAGAGCGAGCTGAGTGACACGATTAAGAACGCCGCTGTTCCATTTGCAGAATAACCGGACTTGCGTCATCTCGAGTTTGTTCTTCTTGGCAAGTCCGTTTGCGTACTTGGTATTGAGAGACGGCCTTAGAGTGTTTCAGTAGGTTAGTCTTATGGTTGTCCAGTGTTATTTTGGTATTTTTTATGTATTATAGCATTTATTATTAGCTGTTATTTTTTATATTTTCAATTTCTAATTTAATTTTAGTTTGTTTTAGTAACATTATGTGCTGTTGTCATTTTGATTTTTTTTTTATTTCTATTTAGCTTTCATTTTTATTTCAGTTTCAGTAATTTTAGTATTTCAACATATTTTATTTTAGTTTGCTGCCAAGGCAACATTTCTATTTTTTTCTATTTCTATTTTTTTGGGTTCACTCGATCGAAAAGCTATGCATTTTCCCCATAGACTTTTGGAAACCTTGTAACCCTTACATGTTTTGTCTATCAAGATAATCTTTACAAGTTAATCCAAAACGTATACATTTTGAAGCTTATATAATTTAAAATCCACACGCAGACACAATAAAGTTTAAAAACCACAAACAGGTTATAACTGGTTTAACTGGTTATAACAGGTTTTATGTCATAGATTAAAACGTGAAAATATTTAGAGGCTTTGTTAACCACAGACCTTATTTCAGGCGATTTAGAAAAAAATGCGTGTTTGGCCTACAAAGTGACATCATAACTTCGGCACTCTATAGACCTTTTTCACAGCAGCGCCATCACCTTTTTAGTGTGAATGAAAGCGAGGCTGTGAGGGATAGACAAAGTCAAAGACATACATCTTTTCAGTGGATTGTTCTGTTATTTAATGTTTTGGATTGTTCTGCTGTTAGTCTATTCCTCACAGTTTTGCTTTCACACCCATCATGGCGATGCTCTGAATAAGGTCTATAGTGTTTGGACTGCTTATTATTCGCTTGGAAAAAAAGAAAAAGCTTTGGATGATCTAAATAGTGTGTGCGTGTTTTTTCCTCGGGGTTCCCCTCACACAATAGGATTTCTGATTGTAAATATTCCGAATTTATAAAATATTGTGGATATTTGCAATTTGATATTGGTGCGGCCGACGATTTACCAAGCAAATTGAATCACTTCTAACATGTCACAACACTGGAAAATTTGATAAGATAATCTGTAGAACCATCACGATAACCAGGACTTTACCCAGGATTGACGGAGGGGAAATATCTTGTAGTGTGTGGCTGCCTTTAGTCTTCTTGGGTTTTGACATCACGTCTGCAGCACACTGTTAACAATATTTACGTATTAATTCTAGCTTTAGTAACCAGACTAGGTCAATCTATCATAAGTTATACTGTAAATGACTTCATGGTTTACAGCAGGTGCAGGCAAGTCTTATCCTGATAACAGATAATATGAGGTTGAAGAGCTGTTTCATTCCTGACAAAACACACAGCATGAACATAAACTGGAGCAAATACACACTATAGCATGAAAGGAGTGACCCAGATTATATATCTGAAGTTCATGCAGCTTTTCAAGAAATTCCAGTGTATTAACTTATGTATTTGCACAGTCCAGTTTCTCTGTTCTACATAGATAAGACCTAAACGAATCCGTAAAACATACTCAATTGATGCAAGAAAATGAAACATACCAGCTTCAAAGTCGGGGGTAAAACTACAATAAGTGTTCACGGTTTTGACCCTTTGAAAAATAAATTGTATTGTCAGCGTTATGTAACTTCTTTTTTTCTCTCGCGCGTTTCATGCTATCCAGCTGAGGTTGCTGTACGAGTGTAACCCCATAGCCTTCCTGATCGAGCAGGCCGGAGGCATCGCCACGACAGGCACCCAGCGCGTCCTGGATATTATTCCCGAGGATCTGCACCAGAGAGCGCCCTTTGTGGGGGGCTCTCCAGATGATGTGGAGGAGTATTTGTCCTTTGTCAAGAAACATAAAAAATAGAGATTTAGGTTGCGATTTGATCCACTGAAAATCACATGACATCGAGATGATAGCATGCAAAACACCACAGTAGCTTTTTTTAAACTGTAGAAGCAATGCTTTTGTAAACAGAATCACATTAAATTTTCTGTATTTAAAATCATTTTTTGCTTTACGTATTTGTTCTTCTACCCCTTTCTCAATTGGTCTTTCTTCCTCACTTATTTTATGCGAACATAATGTGCTTCAGCTATGTGTTGTTTGTTAGTTGGAAAAGTGTTTACACCCTCTGGTTCTTACAAACTCCTCCCTATTAGTGCAAGAGCCAAAACCCAGTAATCTCCACCCCACAAGTTTTAGTTTGCTGGTCATGATGACAGCCTGTGTAATGGCAAAATGCCAAGAGATAAACAAATAGGACACATTGAGCAAATGAACAGCCCTCAGTGTTAATGTTCACCTCTCCTGAATATCAAAACACAATATAGTGAAGAAATCGATTTTGACATACTGTCTGGAAAGCTTTTTTTTTTTTAAACCCTCATGAACATGATATATGGTGCTGCTTTGCTTTAAGTTAGAAAGCAGTACTGAAAACCAGTACCATCCGATCACAACCAACTTCCTGTTTGAATTGGCTTAGTTACACTAGTTTGGATTTTCTGTTTGCTAATCAAGTCAACTAAATGTCGCAGTGAGGTTATAGTTTATATAGGAATACATTTATTTTGCAAATGATATGTAAAGCTACTGCAAAATATAATATAAGTTTCGAATTTTGGGGGAAAATAATCTTATCCTCACCAAGGCTGCATTTATTTGATCAGAAATACAGTGACATATCCCAATATAAAATGTTTCAATGTAATTATTCTTGTGTTGACCAAGCTGAATTTTCAGAATCATTACTCATCTTCAGTGTCACATGATCCTTCAGAAATCATTCTAATGCTGATTTGGTGCTCAAGAAAAAATAATAAAGGGCAATAATATGTTTTTAAATTCTAGAATATAAATCCAAGCCAAGCAGAAACAGTTCCATTTTTAAAAGTTTAATTGATCATACGGATAGTAGAAAAAAAAAAAACACACATTTGTACATTTCAACTTAAACTAAAGAACATGTATTTACATTGAGGCAAAAATCAACTAAATCAACGGCATTAAAATGACTGAAAACAATTGCATAAAGTCCCTATAACAGTGTCACACAATGCCTAGAGTTTGAGGTTTCTCTCTCTCACAGTCTCATTCAGGCTGTGAGACACAGTCCCCTGTGTTAGGCGACTCCTTTTTTTACTACACAAGTGGATTTCAGTGAACCACTCAGGTACCCGAGACACTAATGCGGCCTTCTGGTACAATGTCTAGATTCGGGAGGTATCGTCCTTAGACAAGAGGGTAGCTGGCTGCTGTAGCAATGCCACAGTGGTTATGTCTGTCCTTTGCCATTAAGATATATCCTTTATCACCCCATTTCTCACTCCAGCTAGAATACAGAAAAAGCACATTGGGTTAAAAACACTGGCTTTAAACATCGGCCGTTCATGGTTTTATATGGATGTACAGTATAAATGACCTTCTCACCTGTTCTTGACAATCCAGTACTTCTTGCCATCAACATCCTCACCATCAAAACCATAACCAACGGCGAGAACGCCGTGATCTAGCTCCTCGCTGCTGCATTCTTTCTCATAGTAGATGCCTATAACAAGAGGTATACATCCATTAGTTCACATCAACAGGCTTCTCCTTCACTAAATTGTCATAACGCAGTCATTAAGTAGGCTTAACAACTAGTGGTGAGAAATATGCGCACCTGACTGGTAGAACTGGAAAGACTCGTGCCCAGCGTCAATAGCCACTGACACCGGCCCCACAGAGGCTATAGCTTTCATCAGAGCATGTTCCTTTCCACTGGGAATGTCAACGAATCCAGTGTCATTGGCCGCACTGTTTTGGGGATCATAATGGCAAGGCTGATCGTCCTGAAAACAAATGTAAAACAAAGCATGTTATGGTAATGTAATCTTTTACGTAAATAATCCGAATAATTTCAGAGGAATTAAGAGTAGGGCTGTCAAACGATTAATCGCATCCAAAATAAAAGTTTGTGTTTACATAATATATGTGGGTGCACTGTGTATAATTATTTTGTATATATATATATATATATATATATATACACACACACACATGCTTTTATATTTAAGAATTTTTTTTATTTATAAGTAAAATATGTATATTTATATAATATAAATTATATATAAATCTATGTACATGAAAATAAATATATATTTCTTAAATATATATAAGCATGTGTGTGTATTTATATATATATATATATATATAATATTTATACACAGTGCACCTACATATACTTTGTATTATGTAAACACAAACTTTTATTTTGGATGTGATTAATCGTTTGAGAGCCCTAGTTAAGAGTAATGTAACTTACAGTTCCCAAGTAGGGGTAGGAGTCCTCTGAGTCCAGACCGCTTTGGTCCTTGATATACTGGAAGGCCTGGTCCATGAGGCCTCCGTTACAGCCCTCATTGCCTTCAGGACGGGAGCAGTCCACCAGGTTCTGCTCACTCAGAGACACCAGTTTTCCAGTCTTCCTGAACATCTGACCCTCCATGGCTCCGGTGGTGCTGAAGGCCCAGCAAGAACCGCACTCACCCTGAAAATATCACATTTGAAAGCATTTTAGACCAGCGATTCTCAAGCAGGGAGCCATCAGGATGACAAAATAATTTTGACATTATATTTCTTAGTTTGGTTTCCCATGGTCTTGAAAAAACTGGATATATGAAGGGGCCTAATTTTAAAAATGTGAATTTTAGACTAGGAAAAGTTGTGAATTAATAAACCATGGGTATTTTTTAATAACTGTTACTAGTCATCTGTAATAGCAAGCTCAATATTTTGTGTAGAAATTGCAAATAAAACTTCTGGAAAAGTTACTGAAAGTTAACTAACATTTTGAATTGTAATTATTATTACTTTTATATTTAGTTTGTTATTTTAAATATAATTATTCACCTGATCTTTCACAGGAGTCACATATCCCTTTTCTCTCCAGTCCAACTTATTTGGGACCTCCAGGAAGTTGGGTTCCATGAAGAGGGATCCAGTGAATCGTCTCTCTCTCTTTTGCTTGAAGCCATTCATCACCTGCCTGAACTCCTCATGAGTCTGTAGATATAGAATAGATTTTTTAATGCTGAAGGAATTTCAAAACTCAGTATGCATACGCCTCAAATAAACGGTAACGCTTCCTTTCACAGTACAGTACTTACAGTGTACTTACAGTGTATTTACCTAGAAAGTACTGGCTATATAAGGTACAAGTACATGGAACAGGGGTAGGTTCAGGGTTAGTACTTATTACCCAGTAATTGTAGTTACTAAAATAAGTACATAGTATTTACATGGGTAACTGGACTGTAAAAGGAAGCGTTACCAAATAAACTTGTTCTGCAGTCTTACCATGTCACCAAAGTGGTTCATTCCGAGTCTGTATGTGTGTTTGCCCATGGAGTGATCGAGATTGTGCATTTCGATCTTATTCAAGTTTTTCTCCCAGATCATTCGCCTCCACCCCTCCTCCTTCTGTGTTGAAAGAGATAACACTGAGTTCCACATCTTGCTCCATTTTCAACTTGTTCATGAACATTTAAAGCCAGCAATCTCTCTTTATAGGTAACACTCACTTCATGGTATTTTTTACTGTGCCAGTTCTTCCACTGCTCCCAATGGTCATCCAATTGCTTGTCCAGAGTTGGAGCAGCAAAAACTGCACCGAGGCACAACGTGAACGCTGCCAAATAAACCCTCATGGTTGAAACACTGTGGGGACAAACAACAACAGGTCAGACATGTTGCAACAAGTGACCATGAACTGTTTTATTACATGTAAAGAGATCAAACTTAAATATACAGTTACTACTGTTCTTTTTTCTTTTTTTACCAACATTTTAGACCGAATATGGTCTATGTAGGTCTAATATAGGTCTATGTGTCATATTTAAATTGTGAAAATATAAGACCTTTTAAGTCGACCTTTAACTATGTAATTCCGATTTACATATCAGTCAGAATTCCAACTTTTTGTCCTATATTTTACTTATTATTAAACGTATTATTGTAATTAATATTATTTTAAGTGCTGAATAAACCTATTTAAAATGGTTACAGATAATGTTACGCAAGACATTGCTGAAACGGCTTGAAATTTCGTGCCGAATATCCCAAGTCAGTCACCTCACTGCTGTATAATTAAACAACATGTATGCATATTTAAAAAAGATTTTTTTTTTTTTGTCCAGAGTGTCGTGAGATCATATTACTGTCTGCCACTATATATTTGTTTACACCGTGTAACGTAAAGAACCAACAGCAGGCAGATCCGAGGCAGATGTAATAACCTTGTTATGAATAATACAAGCTAATGGACGCGTAACGTTAAATTAAAAAGCTTACAAACCTGCCGCCGCACAGAAATGAATCTATATCGGTAACGTTATATGACTGTATATCTTCTAAAAATATATATCGTTATTTGTTTTGAGCACGGGCCTCCGGACAGACACACACACTGGTGTCTGGACACAGAAGAGAATATGGTGTTCCTTTAGCTGCGGTCACGGGATCTAGGCGGTTGGGTTGCAGCCCAGTTTCCCAGGAAAAGAAAACAAAGAGCGAAACCAGGCCACGGAAATCGAAAAAGAAACTATTGGAACCATTTTAGAGAAATGATCATAGCAAAAAGCGCCATGCTTTAACGTTACCCATCCAGGCTATTAAGGTGTGTGTGTCGAATACAGTTCATTAAAATGTATTTTGTAATGTATTAAGTTAACGTTAACATAAGCGACAGCAAGCTCGATTCTGTTCTGTAAAAACCTAAAACAAAGATGTATATAATTTGCACTAAATGGTCCATGACGGTTTTTAGAAATAAATAAATGTTAAAACAACTAAAATTTCAGAAAGCGTAAAAAACTCCTGACTCACCCTGTCGTCCTGAATCCCGAAGAAAATATTTTTTTTCACAGACGAGCCACAAGTTTATAGTGCATCTGAAGGCAAATTCCTCATTTCTCATTGGTCGAGACTCTTGACTATAGATTTTTGATCCCGCCCCTCTGAACACGTCGGAGCATGTGACCCACCAGCACGTGATGAGTTCCCGACAGATTATGATCTGACTCATGGAGAAAAAAAACAATGTAACAACAAAAACGAGATAAAAATTTGTTATAGGGCATAGCTTCTGTTATTTAAACTATTATTAACCAGCCAGTAATGCTTATGCCTCCTAAGTGTTGTTTAAAGACAAGTTCACAACATGAAATCTATACAGTTGATTGACAAATGTTAGAATTGATTAACTTACTAAACCAAGATTGTAACAGCTGACAAGATACTTAGAAAATAAATAGATTTAAAATTGTGTATATTCATTTATAAAAGATCTAAAGATTTAAGCAGGCAGTCTTACATTTTCAATCACTATAAAATACATTGAACTGCATTACTCTGCTACGGAAGCCCTGAACCACACATCGAGAAGAACACAAGACCAGTGTATATTGGATTTACTATCAGTGTGTCTATGTGAGGACGTCAGTGCAGGTTATCTAGAGTCGAAGGAATGACTCCAGCCTAAATAAGAGCTCACTGCAAATAAGACCAGGGGATCACAACTCACTTTAAACGTATTAAATAAAACACTGATGATGTATAGCCTAGAAATATCATAGGTTTAAAATAGGTGGGAAAAATAGGCTAATATAAAATCAATAAGCTCCACAGTGCTCTATGAGAAACTGCACATGTGCATTTAATGGGGAATCTGGGCCTTATTCAGTGGAAATGCTTCTTATGGCATGTATTACTGAGCACACACTAAATACACAATGGGACTGTTAAGTCCACAAAATAAGCCACTTTAAGAGCAAAATATATTGTAGTTTATTTTTTTTATGTATTTTTTTTTTTAAAGGTGGCAATATTTAACCTTGCTGCATAAATGTGCCTGCCTGGACAGTTAATGCCAATTAGCCTAAATTGAATTAAATAAAATAAACCTAAATTAGTTTATGTGTGTAATTTAAAAGACAGTTTTATTAGTATTTAAATAATAAAGATAATTTAGTTGAGTAACCTTTCAAATGCAATCAGAGTGGATGTGAATGTTTTAACTGAGATGGGAATTCAACATTCCACATTGTTTACATTCATGCAAAGCTTTGAGGCAGGCCAAAATTAGAGATTAGAGTGCTTCTGAATCTACATACCAACAAAAGGGGGAAAACACTGATTAGTGGGTCGTCTGTCACAAGTAGTGCACAATAGCCGTGGATGGGAAGATTGCTCAGTTATCACTTAAGCCTATCAGTGAACCTCATAAAGCAATGATCAAAAATCAGTAGTTAAAAGAAACACAATTGATCAACACACGTTCCATTGATCAACACAAGTGTGAGCAAACACACAAGCCAAACATGACTCTGTATCAGATTAGTAGCCACATTGTCACTAAATAGATTTTTTTTTAAAGTCAACTACAGTCTATTGGTATTTGGTTCCATTAAGCTTTTGTAACTTTTATTTTTAAGAGTAACATAAACAGAGCTTTAAAAATAAAATAAATAAATAAAAAAGAGGAAAGCTTAAATTTGTTATGTTGAAATACATATGGGGCGGTAAATCCGTTTGCTGAATAATGCAAGCTCTGTCTTGCACACACTCTGACTCCTCAAAAAAACAAGCACATGACTGAATATTCATCATGCAATCATTATTTTCAATTCATTTTAGTGGGCCGTTCTTCTCACGGCTGATTTGAAGGCCTCAGTGGTACACGCAAAAGCCATTTTACAAAAAAAAAAACTTACTGAAGGGCGGTTGAGAAAACTTTTAAAACATGGACTGTTTCTGGGACGCGTTTATTAGCAAATGACATAGTTTAGACCAAGTAATCAGCCATTTTGTAGAGGAAGACTTCCTGTCCTTTCCACGACAATCTCTTTCCTTCAAATGTTTTTCTCTCAGTTTATTTTTTATTAAGTGTTTTATTATTAGCTTACACATAACTATGAATGTTTCTCTGTTTTCACATGATCTCTTTTCTTTGTACTGTACCCTTAAGTTGGGGTGGTTCATAAATAAATTGATTATTATCCTAAAAATCTTTTTCAAACAGCGAAATGTAAATGGACAATACTATAAGACATTAATGAGAGTCATTGAGTAAACAATTTATTATATAAAAAAGTAATACACTGTAAAGTTTAAGGAAGTATTAAGGACATGGCATTCAGAGACATGCGAACATAATATAAATAGAGACATAATGTGAAGGTCTTGTGCAAAGAGATGACTGTACAAGTCTTAAATACACCAGGATAAATTCCCCTCTGATGTACCCTGTTAAAGTCTTAAGAGAGGAAATCAGGAACCTTGACCACAGCTAAACAGAGAAAGCGCTCCATAATACGTGGACTTAAATCACAATATACAAATGTGCCGTTTGGAATGAGAGAACAACAAATGCCAGATTCCCTTTTAGAAAGTCTGTGATTTTAAGCCTGCAAGGGGAATGATGAAGGGTTGGAGGAAAGACCTGTTCCAAAATATAATATGGAACAGTCCTCGGTTTTTTCCGTCGACATTAAAAACATGATGAAATCGCAACCGTCTTGTTTAAAGGAGAGCATTAGATGTAACAAAGTCTTTGCTGCCATCTACAGTTTTCAACTTGTCACTTCATTTGTCTCCAGTATACCTCAACCAGACAGGTATTCGATTCTCCAGTGTAAAGAATACACGACTAAGTGTTGAAAATAAGTCTTAAACACTCGACAACAGTGTAAATGTGTGAAACAGATTATATTGATATAACAGCTGAACAATTGCAACAAAGATCATGCTTATCAATACACTGAAGCAGACACCATTTTTATAAAAAAAAGAATATCTTATTTGTCGTGTAAGTGCCTCGATTATTTCATCACTTCCATTTGATAGGTAGTTAGAACTGTGATATTTCTCAAAAGTGAATGTGACAAGTGTAAGTGTGAAGGATTTTAGAAACCAGATTTTAAAACAAATTAATTACCATGTTTTTGTTTGCTTTTAAAGGAATGTTTAGGTTTGTGCTTTATCAGTCAAATAAATCCTGTCTGAAAAAATTAGTTGCAATAAGAAACATTCAGGTAGTAAATGTAAACTACACAATTGTCTATGTTGTAGAACAAGCATCCATCTATTGTCGCGTAATAGATATGTTCATTAAAATCTTCATAAGACAGGTAAACACTGAAGCACTTGCCGAGGTGCACATCCAATTTTTAAAATCAACGATGGCTCTTTGTCAACAGTTCGCCACCTTCAAGGCACTCAATAGCTTGAGTCTTTTATTTAAAAATGTTGCCAAGCACTTAGTGATCTATCATTCGGTCATCAAATTTAGTGTAATTCCCCTAAACAGCTGTCTGATTATATAGAAGTAAATCGCTAACTGCGGAATCATTCAATTAGGACATTTTGAGAAAGGCCGTCTACAGTTTCACCTTGGGAATGTGAGACGGCCTATAAAAGACTTCCAGGGAAAAAAAAAAAAAAAAATTACATAGGCACCTTTTGAGAGATACCAAGGATGAACATTCAGAAATCGCAAAGGGCAACAAAATGGAAATGAACAGAGTATCTGATTCAAATACTTCAGTCTCAGGACCAGCAGGGAGTTTGATATTTAACACAACTCTGCCGGATAATTGCACGTTTCTCTATAGACACCAGTGACGTCCTAACGAGAGATCACGGAACTGATGGAGTTGTAGGACGTGCCGCCCCCATTACACACCGGGCTGTAGGGCTCCGGTGGGGTGCCCAGAACCTCCAAGTTGACCCGGAACACCGGCGCAGCTCTAAGGAGGAAATCCGCTGCGTCCCGGCGGCCGAGTTCTCGCAACTTAGCGAGCAAAACTCCTATGGTAGACTCGGGTCGTCGGCTCCACTCTTGCAGGAGCGTGGCTGTGGGGCTGATAAGGGAAAGGGGGTCCGCAGGCGGAGTCCCGTTGGTGCCAGAACTGTATTTAGCAGCGAGCTCGCTAAGGCCCAAGTTCATGGCAAGCAGGCACCAGTCCTTTCCGAGGGCATCGGGTGGGTCCAGCAGGCGGCAGAGTTTGCGCCGAGCCAGGTGACTGACTTCCGCCACGGACACTTCCCCTCCAAGACTGCCCTGTTTGTAGACATGGGTGCAACCTAATGCTACGATACTGACGAAGCTCTCGCGATAGCCGCCCATGGTGTTGGACAGCGCGTTCTCGCCTCGAGCCTGAGCACGGAAAAAGTCCCTCGGCTGGTAGAGCATGACAGGGCCGTGGTGTTCCCGCAGCTGCTGAGGGCTTAGATAATGACGTGCGGTAAGCAGACCGGGTAACGTGGCAGCTAGGAGACCCTCTGCCATGCCGCACAACGTGTCCAGCAAAGCGTAGCAACGTCCGGAATCTGCGTCAGGTCCTCGTAACTGTACCTCCACGCCCTGCCCGTGGTTCACAAGCAGAACCAGAGCCTCAGCACCACCGAGTCCGACCCGAGCTCCACCGCTCCACAACCTCACATCCTCGGCCTCGACCTCGGGCTTCTGTTGCCGGCCCCACCGGCATAAGTTGACTTGGAACTTATGGAAAAGTCCACAAGGGAATGGCGCCAAGTGCTCGGCGGGGACCACGCGCACTCCACCGTAAAGCAAAGTGTCCTCACCTTCGATGTCTTCCTCATCAGTCCAGGTGTGCTGTAGGCCACCCGTGCGCATCAGGGCGGGAATGTCCACCATCCCCGGGTTGGCTAAGTCACGGGCACATACGTCCATGGCGTCGAGCACCTGGAGAAGTTCATCGATGTCCCCTTCGCTGACGAGGGTTTGGAGTTCTTCCACACGGTAGCGGCCTCGGTAGTGGTGGATCGCTTTGGGGGTTTCGATTGAGAGAAGCTTGCCAAGTACGTTACTACAAAGCCAGCGAGGATCTAACAGGACAACATCCTGGACAGTCTCACTCTGCATGATGTTAATCTAGAGCA